CAAGCAAGCAAGCATGCAATCGATCAAAGCAAGCAAGCAAGCAAGCAAGCAAGCAAGCAAGCAAGCAAGCAAGCAAGCAAGCAAGCAAGCAAGCAAGCAAGCAAGCAAACAAGCAGCAAGCAAGCAAGCAAGCAAGCAAGCAAGCAAGCAAGCAAGCAAGCAAGCAAGCAAGCAAGCAAGCAAGCAAGCAAGCAAGCAAGCAAGCAAGCAAGCAAGCAAGCAAGCAAGCAAGCAAGCAAGCAAGCAAGCAAGCAAGCAAGCAAGCAAGCAAGCAAGCAAGCAAGCAAGCAAGCAAGCAAGCAAGCAAGCATGCAAGCAAGCAAGCAAGCAAGCAAGCAAGCAAGCAAGCAAGCAAGCAAGCAAGCAAGCAAGCAAGCAAGCAAGCAAGCAAGCAAGCAAGCAAGCAAGCAAGCAAGCAAGCAAGCAAGCAAGCAAGCAAGCAAGCAAGCAAGCAAGCAAGCAAGCAAGCAAGCAAGCAAGCAAGCAAGCAAGCAAGCAAGCAAGCAAGCAAGCAAGCAAGCAAGCAAGCAAGCAAGCAAGCAAGCAAGCAAGCAAGCAAGCAAGCAAGCAAGCAAGCAAGCAAACAAGCAAACAAGAATAGGCAAACAAACAAACAAACAAACAAACAAACAAACAAACAAACAAACAAACAAACAAACAAACAAACAAACAAACAAACAAAAGCAAACAACAACAAGCAACACAAAACACACAAGCAAACAAACGAGCAATCAATCAAACAAACAAAGACACAAAGACGCACACACACACACACATGTCCTTCATGCGCGTTCATGGTCTAGATTAGTCCGGTGCTGCATTCCAGTTTTTGTTTCTTCCAATTGCCGCCAAGCATTGCGCCTGCAAGTTGGAATGTGATTTCTGCAGCAGGTTCCCGTTTCGGGTGATTCGCGTTATGCAGCGCTGTGGAGAGACTCTCGGATCTCTCGGGGTAGCGGCTCTGACCGAAAAAAGGTGTCGGCATTCCCAACCATATGGTTGTGTGGAGAAAGCTTTAAGTTCGGCTTTGGCTCATTCGAGGGACTGGGAATGCTGTGAGTTTGCAAAAGCTAAAATCGCCTCGTATTTGCTCGCACAGCCAAAGGGGGTCCGTGTCTGGGGGCTCTGAAGGAGTTTGCTCGAAGTGTTGACCTTGGTTTTGACTTGAGAGATACCGACTAGCACCTGGCCTTGGGCCCTGCTCTTCGCGGCCCCTCGAACTCTTATTGGCCGAGTACCGATGGACTGAACGCCGTGCCCGCAGAAGTTAGGCCTCAGCTTGTTGCACATTATCGAAAGCACCCGGAATGACCCTTGGGGGTGTTGTTGTTCAGAAGCACCAGCTTCAGTTGCCATTTCGGTTTGGAATGTGGCGATGGCGCGTGCTATCCAAGCTAGGATGATCACATTTCCACATCCGTTAGCGACAGGCCGAGCCCAGTACCAGCTACATTGCCATGAATTGATGGGCAGATAGCGGAACGAGGTACTGAAAGGCGCTTTCTCTTCCGCGGTTGCACGGGAATCGGTCCGGCACGGCTTTTGATTTATGCTCTCGCCACAAGGGCTCGCAGAATGGGCCTCTGCGATGGGGGCGCCTTGCCCTTCCGTCGCTCTGCGTGTGCCTCCTGAAACTGAGCAAAGTGGCCTCCCCAAGTGGGAACGGCAAGCAACTTGATTCAACCCCATGTTCTGACTTAACCCCAATGGGGGTTGCCGGTTTTAGGAAGCGCCCAGCGCAGCGCGTTTTGCTGCAAAAGCACGCAGAGCAAGGTGTGGGACCGGCCTTCGTGCCGGAACGTGAAGCGCGCGGCAAGTTTCAGGTTCACTCGGGACAAAACGTCAATCACATATGAACCAACTCAGAATGGCAACCCACGGAGCCGACTGGCATCACTGGACAACACGAAAACGCACACACATGCAAAAGGGTCGGAACCACCTGTGTGATTCAACTCGACATGTAGAAGGTCTTCTCGAAGTGAACAAGCGCTCGGCATGTCGGTGTTGCGATTTCAGGTTAACGCCCTTCTGCGCGCAAGCCTCACGCAAGAGGCAGACCGGGTGTTTGCTCGATCTGCACAGCTTGCCGGCTTTGCGAGCAGGGAACCGGTGTCCTTCGGCATGCGTTTCTGCTCACACTTTCTGAAGGCCTTGTGCGTAATCCAAGGCCCCATGAGGTACAGGCCACCGAGTGAAACCTTGGTAAAACCTGACACTCGGCACAGCGGCATCCACACACAGCGGTTGCCGAGACGCCGTGGATTTCTGATGCCAGTCTGGCAGAAAAGGGCGCGCGGGCTTTACTTGGCTTACGCCGGATTCACACATAGGTTGCCCTAAATCAGTTTGCAAGTCTGCAATGAGAAGCGCGGGAGTGAATTTCAATCGGGTGTTATAAGAAAACCATGACCCTTTCGCGGACATGGACACATGGGTTGATGTCCAATCATGAAGGGTGCTCCAAGCATTGAAACCTCCAGCACCGAACCCAGGAGGATTGCATAAACTGCAGCATGTTTTGGGGCTGAGCTGTTGATCTCAAATCAGTGATCGTTCCCAATAAAGGAGCAATTTTTAGTTTGTTAAATCAAAGGGAACTCCGAAAAGCAAGGGCGGGCGGTTCTTGGTGGGTTCTTGGGGCCCACGACCCCCCAAGTGCCACTGCCCTAAAACCGGGTCCCGCTCAAGGCACTGGGAAGCACCCTGACAAGTTTTTAGGTGGACGGTTCTCCCCAAACGATGCAGAGACCAAATGGACCCCACACGGGCGAGGGTTTGATCTGCCAGGTCGCCAGCGCGCACGGGGCATCGGTGTGAGCGTCGCCAAGATGCCAGAGCGGTGTAAAAGGATTGAGTCCAGGTGACAGGGGCACACTATAACAAATGCACTAGGACATGCTATGGATGGCCGAAGTCCTGCACCACCAAGAACCCCTGGAATGATGATTTCTCTGTAAATACCAACAAGCAATCGTTTCGATGGTTTCAAAGGATGCAGGATTTGGTCCATCCACAGTACGATTTTGGTTTGCATGGGACACACAAAAAATACGACTTTGTTGCCATGCCATGGCTCGCGCAGTTTTTGGCATGAGCTCCATGACTGCGCCTTCGGGCGTTCCAGATGCGCTCAACGAGGCTTGTGTGTGCAAAACCAGCCTGCGGCTGCAAGAGCAAGGGCCGCAGATCTACCAACATGCAACTTTGGCACATGCTTCCCCTTCATCGTCGTTTGTTGCATGATTCCAGCGGGTGTGATATGAGGAGCGTGCGATTGTTTGCGGGCAGCCCGTTTTGCTCAGCCACTGTTTCTCTGACCGCTTGCGAGGCGCGGCACGCCAGTTTTGCTGCACTTTTTCGTGGTTTTAAGATTTTAAGCGCCGCCAGCTTGAAGGGAGTTGTTTTTGAACGTGGCGTGATGTTTA